ATCACATAGGCATATCATTTACATACCTTCATCACATAGCTCATATAACTTTTTCTGCATATTCATGTCATGTAATACATATAATATGAATTCATGTCATGTAATACATTTAATATAAATTCATGTCATGTATCATAATATGGAATGTGATCATATGTCAAAAATATGGAATCTAGACTTATCACAAGTCTAGAACTGAATATACTACTATATTCATGCTATGCATATGCACTCACCTATACTTCTTTGCTTTTTCCTCGATCGATCCTACTTGTAGATTGTTCCCGAACTCGAGTAGGCTCGGTATCTACATAAACATAATTTTCAAGATGATCATCAGATGTCTATATCTTGAAATTAAGCTTTAATAGCCTACTAATTTAAGGAATTTATAGCTGAGTCTTTCTTCCTTTCCTTTCATTTTTTTTCTTATGGGGGAATCGGTTCCCCTCCTGGGGGTATCGATTCCCCACTAGCCTTCTGGAATTCATATGCGTTGAGGGGGTATCGGTTCCCCCCTGGGGGTATCGATTCCCCTCTATCATTCTGGAAATCATGTTCGTTGAAGGGGTATCGGTTCCCCTTGAATGGGTACCGATTCCCCTAACCCAGAAATCCTATTTTGAGCCCGGAAATCATCTCATTTCAGCTCAAACATACATATTTCAATCCCTTTAATACTCTTAGCTCTCATACACTTACTTAAACTACTTATTATCCATTCAATACCTCTAAAACTAAGAAAACTACTCATCCATATAGAATTGAAGAATCTTACTCCAATTTCAACTTGTTCTAATTTCAATTCTATTACTTCATACTTCTTAATTAGTTTATTGACAAGTCAAAAATCTGATTCAAACATCAAAAACTCATTCCTATCAAAATTTCATCTAAAAATTTATTTTCCAAATCTATCTCTAAAACACTTATCTTGTTGTTTTAATGTCATATAAGCTTTCCTTTAGCTTATATAACATCCAAACTTTCATTCCCAATCTTAAAAATCAAAGAAACTACCAAGGTTTAGATTCTCACATTTACTTGCAAGTTTCACGCGGTTGGAGAAGGAAGAGAAGAAGAGAAAAGTCTGGAAGCTTATCTCAAATGCCCACGTGATTTATAATCTCACCCTAAGGAATATTTAATTATTTCCTTTACTCAATTACTCTTTTGCCCTCTTAATTCTCCTTCTTTATGATTCCATCCTACACCCAATAACCCAAATAGATCATTAAACTCTTCCATCATTATACTTAAATTACCAAATGTTGAAACTTTGCAAATTAATCACTCACCCGACATGGAGGATGTTACATACCCTTTGGTTGCTTTCGAGTCTCGGCCTCAATTTCAAAGTCATCTGCGCCACCAACAATTTTCCAACCCATTGACTCAATTTTTCCTTCATATATCAGTTTTCGCAAATCAAATTATTTTGTTACATACACTTTATTCAATATACAAATATAGATAACTACTCTTGTGGTAAAACGGTTTTCTTCAAAAGAATTTGAATGGCCACTACAAAATGTGTCGGCACATTTATACAACCTATAATATCATTTTCTACCTATAATATTTAATAAAAGTATCGACATTTATATTTTACCTTCAATATCACTTTCTACCTGCAATCGGTCCCAATTGCTTCTTTACTCCAAAACCCCAAACAACACATAAAAACCCTATTCGCGATTACTGTAATAATAAAAAACTAGGGTTTCGACAACATACTTTTCGATTCGACTGCATCAACAACAAACAAACATCGCTTTAGAAACGCCTTCTGAAATGCAGCAACAATTACGCTTCGATTTCAAAAACTCGTCCGTTCTATCGATTTTCAGAGGATATTTAGATATGGCCTTTATATTTTCATCGGATATGTTATTTATATTTAATCGATACAAATACAAAAGTGTCGATACTTTTATGTCAGATATCGATACTTTCGAAATGATAATTACCTATTTCTTTGAAAGTGTCGATAATTTATTACACGTACTTACTAAAGTATCAACACTTTCAATATATCTGGTATCGTTTTACCGGTTTTATTATATTTTTATCTGTTATATCGTTGTGGATCGATATATTTTTTTAAAGTATCGACACATTATAGGCGCTAAAACTGCTTCTCTTTTAAATTCACAAAGTGTCGATTCTTATATAAAGTATCAACACTTTCAATATATCCGGTAACGTTTTACCGGTTTTATCATTTTGATACCGGTTTTATCATATTTTTACATGGTATATCGTTTTGGATCGATACATTTTTAAAAGTATCGACACTTTATAAGATTTAAAACTGCTTCTCTTTTAAATTCACGAAGTGTCGATCCTTATATTAAAGTGCCGACACTTTAAATGTATCCGGTAGCGCTTTACCGATTTTATCATTTCAATACCGGTTTTGTCATAGTTTTACCTGTTATATCGTTTTGGATCGATACATTTTTAATTTGGATCGACACGAACCGACAAGTTAAGTTTGCCGGTTACACAATTTTTTAATATTTCTTCATGACTTAGACCTACTACATTATTATTAGTCAACATTTCCGGTAGCGCTAAACCGAATTTGTTAAATATCTTTTAATGTATCTGGTAACGCCATATATTAGCCGTATATTAACCCGCATTTCCTGAGACAATCCCATAATAATGGCTGCTAGTGACATTTGTTCGAAGAGTTTTTTTTTAATATAAAATTTTATATCCGTCGTTAATTTCGAGGTTTCTACGTTCTTTGGATACCCTTTTAAAAACCTTGAAAGTTGTACAGATAATTTAAGAGCAAATTATAAATTTGATAACTAAACTCTCATACGATTCCTATTTTACTCATCGTACTTTTAAAAAAAATTTAATTTTCTCACTCAACTTTGAAATTGCTCCTATTTTGGTCACTCACCGGTATTATGACATGGAAATACCTAGAAAAACGACATCGTTTTATATACTACAAAAAAATAAATAAAGATCAAAACAAAACAGTTTGGATTTTATACAAAAATATTTTTTTCTTTTCATTTCCCCCTCTTTTTCACCGTTCTTTTTCTTACTCACCAATTTCCCCCCTCTCCCCTCAGCGTGAGCAAATCTGGGTTTCTACCATCACTTTTTTGAGTTTGCATGTTGGTGGTGGCTCCGACGGCTTCGAATGCGGAGTAGGAAAGTTTAGAGTTAGGGGCAAATGTAAGTGGGGGACAACCAAGGCTCATTTTGAGAGGTAAAAGGAATGTTTGTTTGGAAGGAAAACAAAAGTTTTGATGGAAAATGAGAAGGAAAATTGTGAAGCGAAGAAGAAAACGGAAAGAAGACATTGATTCTCTTTCGTCGTGCTTTAATCTTCCGTTTTGGTTTGTACGTAGAAGGAACTGTTTGAATCAGATAACCAAAACATATTTTGATCTTTATATCAATTCCAAATATTTGATTTTATGCTGCTTTGGTCTTTCAAAGCTTGAAAAATGTTGTAATTTTCTTGTTTGTTTACCGGGAAAACTCAAAAAAATGATGTTCTGATTGATCGTTGTTTCAGCGTAATTTTGGTCATGTTCCTTTAGATTTCTTCCTTCTACTTTTGGAAGCAAGCGATGTTAAGACCATTCAAAGGAAGTGGGCAGTGGAGAATAATGGTTAAAATTACTAATAACTAGTTCGTATAGTGGAATGAGATACTAGATTCCTTAAATAAGATCAGAAGTTCGAATGTTGGCATTTGCGTCAGCAAACTAGGTTAAAAGGGTTGTCCCATAATGGGCCTCTGCAGATCATGATCTAGATTAATCGATCAATAGATCAGATACAAGTGATTGATTAAAAAAACGAAATAAAAATTAAAATTTTTAACTTTTTTTAAATATAATATTTTATTGGGTATTTAATTTTAAAATTCAAAAAATAATGTCTGATTTGTTTTAAAATCGTGGTGAATTGATAGTCAAATGTTGAGATCGATGAAAAAAGATTCGAAAGTTTAAGAGAAGTTTCGAAGTATTTTTGGAGTTTCCATGAGAAATTCAATTTGGAATACTTGTACATGAAGAAAAGATGAGTAGAACGTATTATTGTTGGTTGAAATTGATATCGAATGATGATGATTCAATGAACTGAAGTTGGTGAACGATAAATTATGGATTTTAAGCTATTTATCGGTTAAATGAATATTGAATTCGTGTTTAGAAGGATGAGATGAGGTTGGTGAGGAATTTTGAGATTCATTGACCTTTAACGACGATAGCCGATGATAGTCAAAATTGATTAAGATTAAGAAGAGAAAAGGAAAAAAAGCGAAAAAAGAAAAGGAAGAAAAATAAAAAAAAACTTTTTATATGGGCTTAAAATGTTGTGATTTTAGTTTAAATTAAATTTTTATAGGGATTTAAAATAATATTGTTTTAGTGTAAACTATTATGTTATAATATCATTAATTATTTATTAGCAGAGTGATCAAAGTAAAAGTAATTTAAAAATTAAGTGATTAAATTAAGAAAACTAAATTTTAGTGATCAAAATAGTAAATGGAAAGAAAGTTGAATGATGGAAAAAAGTAATTTACCCATAAATTATAAAAAAATTTAAATTTCTTGTTCTTTGCCATCGATTTTCTTCGCGGGAAATTATACGGTGTGACACCTTGAATATACGATTAAAAAAAATTGATACTAGTTTTATTATTATTTAAATAACAAAATCGATAAAAAAAATTACTTAAAAAATTATTATTTTACATAAAACATCAATATTTTTTAACATTTCCGGTAAAATGTCCAACAATAAAAAAATCGATAAAAAAATAACAAAATCAGTAACACTCTACTGATTTTGATAAGAAACCCGATAAAAAATCTATTAATAACAAAATCAATAGAAATAATAATATTTTCAATATTTTTTATTAATTTTATTATTTAAATAATAACTAAACTAGTAACACTTTTTTTTTTAAATTTATATTAAGGGTGTTTTGTTTATATCTGTTTGTTCATCTCTTTTATTATTTTTACTTTCTCTCATGAGCAACGACTACTCTCCTCACTCCTTCACGAGGTAATCTGAAATATGCTTTCCTTTGGAATTTGTCTTTAATCGTTTTAGTTCTTGATTTTTCTCTGTTCTTCCTTGAATTTTGCTGGAGCTGAATTTTCCACTGTTTGATGTGTTTCTTTGGCTACTTTGTTTGATCCTTTTACGCCTTTTCCTTTTAGGGATCTGGGTTAGTTCTTGTTTTGGAAATGAATAACTTGTGTTCAATTACAATGGCGATTTTGCTGGAATTTTGAAGAATCGCACTACTTCCTTACTTTCCCCCACCTAAGCCTTTGTTTGTGATCGGAAATCGCTGCTTCCGTGGCAATTTTCGTTTCCAATTGGGGGACCCTAGTGATTCATTAAAACTAATGATTCTATTGGCAAAATTGTTTGAATGTTGTGGTGAAAAAACTTATTTGAACGAGGTGTGTCAAAATTTATTTGATCTAGGATGGTTGCTACAGTAATCGAGAACTTATCAGGATTACATTGTGATTTTAAGAGAACTTGTTGACTGTACGACTATTTTAAGATCTCAACATGCGTGCATATCGACTTCCCCATGCACGCTAGCTGGCAGCGATGCAGTCCGAAGGCACGGAACCTTGCCGGCGACGCATAGGAGAAGGATTCCTGGAAGTAACATGATAAATTTGTCATGCAATCAACACGTTTTCTTGAAACCGTCTTGTAGTCCTTGTAAAAAAATAGTACTGATGTAAAATAAAATTGTTAGTATTGATTATTAAATAATAATGGAGGAAATAGAACGATGTACTGTGTGGTGGTATGGAAGCCACTGCTTTAAAAGTAATTTCGTCTGGATTGGTGTAATGTCGAATTGCCTCCCAAAGTTAACTCCTGTGCCTTCTTGTTCACTTATGATCTTGTTCCTTCTTGGATTAGTTTAGATTTGTTTTGAAGATTAGTTTGTTGTGCTTGACATTATGCTGTCTTGGTGTGTAGACTGTAACCACTGTCGAGGCTCCGTTAACTCCTGTGCCGAACAAAGACCCGTTTAGTCCCGAGTTAACCACAGAACCTCTGTAAACAGCAATGAATCCCGAGGAGAGAACTCTTGTCGAAATCTTAGATGAGAATAAGAAGATCGACCTTGCCGAGTACATAAACTATGTTAGTGCCCCACAAGCTGGTGCCATAGCCACATTTTCCGGCACAACTCGCGACAGTTTTGAAGATAAAACAGTGGTGGAACTAAGATACGAAGCATATGTACCGATGGCGGTTCGTAACCTCAAGTCTATCTGTTACTCTGCTAGATCATCCTGGGATCTCCGTTCTATTGCGGTTGTCCACCGCTTAGGGACGGTTCCTATAGGAGAAACAAGTGTGTTTGTTGCAGTATCGGCTACTCATCGTGCTGTTGCTTTAGATGCATGCAAGTTCTTGATCGACGAGTTGAAGGCATCTGTTCCGATTTGGAAGAAGGAGGTTTATTCTAACGGAGAGGTCTGGAAGGAGAATGCGGAATTTCTCGAGCGGAGGTCGGAACTCGGTAAGGATGGGGGCTCTTGCCGAAGGAAGGTTGAGATCGAGGCACATGATAAAAAGGGTTGTTTCAAAGCCAAGGTCAAGGTGGAAGAAGCTGCAGATGCTAGCACTAGCTAAGGTAATTAAAGACGATCGTTCGAATTCCGAGTTTAATTCAGCCAGTTCATGCGATCATTTTCTAGCTTATGGACTCTTTTCCGTCTCGAATATCGATTTCGATATCGATTATCGACGTTGATCCCGATTCGTATCGTTTATCAATCATCTAATATATGCGCTGAACTATGAAGTTGGACTAATATGGAAACATTGGGCAATGTAGCCTCCAAATAAGAATTTGATGTTTTATGGTACTATTTTATTTTATCAACTCGCAATTATTTTTTTTCAAAATTAAATTAGGATATTGAATTCAAATTTTAATTATTTATTCTTTTAAACATTTTAATATTTATTTATTTTAATTTTTTATAATAATATAAATATTAAAATACAATCAAACAACATATAATACAAATAGGATGGGAATATATGAATATATCAAAATAATATATATCTTGCATAATTATATTTTAATTAGTGAATAAATGCAATGAATTTGAAGTATTGAAATGAGGTGTTCACGAGTCAAATTTGATTAAATTTTATGTACGATATGAATAATTTTATACTTATTCAAATTCAAATATTTTCAAAAATATTTAAATTATATTAAATCCATCTAAGATGAAAAAGAATGTTGTTTTCTCTATAAGATTGAAGAACCTGACTTTGAACAATTGTTTTATATAAGATGTATGTAACACCTCCAATCCGTATCCGACCCGGATCCGAGTCCGAAGTGTCACATTTACTTTTTAAATCATTTTCCTTTACAAACATATTAAAAATGTAAATTCACATTTCAAGAAAATGAATATTTTACATTAATTAAATCAATTGATTTACAAACCATATTAGAGCATATTTAATTCAATCCATTAGTACATGTCAACTATATTCAAAATAACAAAATACATTTAAATCATCTCTTTTCTGATATGAACTTCGTAAGGGAGATGCTGACCTGTCTTGCTCTTCTTCGTTTCCCTTTTCGCTTTCCGGAACCTACGTGTGAAACACTCACACGCTAAGTCGATGACATAGTGAGGCATAAATAAATTGACTATAACATATTATTATTAATTCCTACTATGCACACTTCATGCCATCATCATAACTATAGAATGCATTATGCATCAAAACATAACTACATACATATACATATCATTTCATTATCTTTATTAGTATTCTTATCATCATCATTAATCCCTTTTTCTTACCATATACACAACATATAACATGTATATCACTACCCCAAGGAGCAAACATATCATCATGTAATTTCTATAACATATCTCATATTACCAAACATACATATCACATATATTTCCCACATAACTCATATCATATGATTCATATCTTATTTTTATATCATCATATCTATCGTCTATGTTCATTCACTTAATCTCTTATATTCATATATCACATATTCATATTATTCATACAAATCATGTCACTCATACACTAACATATAACTCATACACTCATAACAACATATGCTCATGTTCATGAATTCATGCATAATAGTATAGGAAATAGACTTTTCGTAAGTCTTATTTCCATTAAACATCATATACTATCTAAAATGCACTCACCTGACCTCACTAGTAAATATCAATTCCTTATCTCTTCTTGATGGCTATTACTTGACACCTTGTCCGGACCTTGCTCTCGATTGATATCTACACACTCACACGTATAATATACATATCAGCATTCCACTTGACATATTCTAATTTTCATTTCTTAAACTAAAAGAAAGATTTATTTCTATTTTCCCTTTAAAGTGTATCGATACCTACTATAGGGTATCGATACATCCCTTCACTGGTGTATTGATACATTGCAGTGGCGGATCTAGAAATTAAAAAATAGGGGTCCAAAATTTTAATACCCTATTATAAAAAAATTTGGGTATGCAAATTTTCTTATTATTTTCTATTCCTAATAACAAATTAAACTAAATTTAATATTTTTCTCAAAATAATGGGTGTGCAATGACTCCCCTAGGGAGCCATGTACATCCGCCCCTGATACATTGCCTATGTATCGGTACACAAATTACATTTGAAATTTCCATTTCAAAGAGGGTATCGATACACTCCTCAAGGTATCGGTACCCTTTGAATATCTTCCTGAATTTACTCTTGAGGTATTAGTACCTGTTGAATGGGTACCGATACACCTAGCCCAGAAACTATGTTTTTAGCCCGAAAATTCACTCAATTCCTCACAAACACTTCATGTTTCAATCCTTTACTTATTCATAACTCATATATACATGCTTTAACCCATTTATACTCATTAATCACATCTCTAACTCCAATATCCTATATTCTACATAGAATTCAAGAATCATACCAAAATTTTAACATGTTCTAATTCCAATTCTATTGCTTCTTACTTTTTAATTAGACCATTGACAAGTCAAATTCACCTTCAAAATCTATTAACTCCTTCTATTTCAATTATTCACTTAAAAACTCCTTTTACTTAATCTCTCATAACTTGTTCATCTTGGAGTTTTAAGCCACCTTAATCTTTCTTAAAGCTTTCTTAATACTTCAAGAATCAAAACTAAACTTAAAATTCAAGAAATAACCAGGATTCCAAAACTCACCTTTGAAATGGAGCTCACTGGAAGAAGAAGCTCCATTCTCCAGACTTTTCCTTTCATTTTCCCTCCTTATTCCACATGGTTAATTCCTTATAAAGAAATTATAAAAATCTTCCTTGCAAAATGACCATAATACCCTTATTACTTTCAAACTTTATTACTAAATCCATCATCAAAATTTTCTAATTAAATCCCTGAACTTTTAATCTTTTTTGAGATTGGTCACTATGTTTTCAAAACTTCTACCTTTTCCCGTGCTTATCTGTCAAATGCTTGCAGGAATTGCCTAAACCGCTGCTTCCGGTTGCCAACCGCCCTGTTCTTACCTACGTTTTGCACCAGTTGGAACAAAGCAACCTTAAAGATCTGATTGTTGTAAGAAAAAAAATCCTTTGTGTGATGGTTTGAAATTTGTTTTTTTTATTTCGGTTTGAATTGTTTGGGGTGGCAAAATAGGTGGTTGAAGGGGAAGATGCTGCGCTTGTTGTTGGTGCTTGGATTTCTGGGACTTTCATTGATCGTCTACATGTCGAGGTTCTTGTATCTGATGTTCCTCCTGGTGCAGTTGCTGCCACCCATAGGCGACACGATGCAGCAGTGACTGCAATGCTTTGCTCTATCCCTGTTAGTGGACCTCTAGAGTCTGGGTCCTCCGGTGGAAAAGATAAAGCCAAGAAACTGGGACAATACAACATCATCGGACTGGACCCTGGCAAACAGTTTTTATTACACATAGCAACAGGTTAGCTTTCCACTCTCCTATTAAGCGTGCTACGTCTATTGGATCCTTAAAAATAATCTTGTAATGCTTTATAGGATCTGAAGTTGAGAAAGATGCTCGACTTCCAAAGCACATTCTCCGTGCAGTTGGCCAGGTATTGCTTTCCATCAATCTGTTTACTTATACCACTCTTCAACAAATGTCAATGGATGCCCAGTATGGTGAAATTGATTACTGATGGCATTGTGAGCTGCAACACACAAGTCTAGAGGCTCAATTGTCAATTTTAAAGCTACTAATATTCTTTTTGACGAATAATTTAAAAAGCTAAGATTGAAGTATAGATATATAATTTTGTGTTTTTAATGTAGCTTATCATGTAAAATCTATTGTCTTTATAACTCTTTTTCTGTATACATATGTATATCTTGTTCCTTGCTCTCTATATGTGTGTGTGTATGCATATATTATCTCTTTTGCCTTTTGATCATCAATTGGCTTAAAATTTGTGAGATATTCATTTGCCAACCTCATTTTTGTTTTGTCTTTTATATAGATGGAAATTCGATCGGATCTGATGGATGCTCATATGTATGCATTCAAGAGGTTGGTTCCCTCCACGTGACATCCCCATCCCTACTTGCTTAGAGGTCAGCGGTGTCCCCTTTCTTTTTGTAATAATTCCTCGTTGTATCTTCGCTCAGGTCTGTCCTGCAAGAAGTTTTAGACCTAAAGGATACATTTCAAAGCTTGAAAGAGGATGTACTTCCTTATCTTGTCCGGAGCCAGCTGGTTAGTATCGCTAAATGTCCAAATATCCAAAAGCTACATTTTGACCTGAATAATCGAATTTTGTTCCGATTCTTTTGTAATTACCAGAAATCAGAGGCCTTATCAAATAGGACTCCACATGGAGAAGAAAATAGGAATGAGAAGGTTACTTCCCAGAACAATCAAGTATTTGTCTCTCGAATCCTTGCTAACGCATCTATCCCAAGTTTTCATGACCGCAGTTCTGAGAATCCTGATGGTTCTGCCCCTACTCGGAAAACCCATAAATGCTGTGCTTATATTGCATGTAGCAGCAGTTATTGCGTGCGCTTGAATTCCATTCAAGCATTTATGGACGTCAATCGAGATGTGAGTTGTATTTCACATTTATGCTTTTTCTTGTTTGCCATTGTGTTTTTAGTCCACGTTTTATGTCGTCTAGTTGACTCTTCTCTCTTACTAATGTTTCAGGTTACTGGTGAGGCGGATCATCTGCTGAGCGGCACCTCATCAGATCCCAATAATATCATAGGTCCTTCACCAAAGCTTGGAACCAAAACTACTGTGAGCCTACTTCATCCACACACTGTTATAATTTTCTAAAATCAGTTGGATAGTATCAGCGCGTTATAAATCTTCCTATGATTAGGTGGGGCCGCACTGCATGCTGGGTGAAGGTTTGGAAGTCGGTGACAAATGCCAAGTAAAACGGTCTGTTATTGGCCGTCACTGCCGGATAGGTTCCCATGTTAAGGTATGATGATTTATCTTTACCTTAACTAAGGTAAAGCAGAAAGTACCTGGGAGTCTGTAAAACTTGCCTCTTGCGGTTTCGTCATTTATGAAAATTAAACGTTTCGAGCTTTGGTAATTGTTTCCCTTCGTTACTTGAAAATTTGTTTCATTGCATATGCAGGTTGTCAATTCGGTTGTAATGAATCATGTCACGATCGGCGATGGCTGTATAATGCAGGGCTCTGTTGTTTGTAGCAATGTACAGCTTCAAGACCGCGCTGTTTTGAAAGACTGACAAGTAATTCCCTAAAGCTCTTGCGTAAACTTTGCAGACACTTGAAGAATCAAATTGTTTTTCGTACCATTTAGTATTCGTTTGTATCCATGGTTATCACATTGTGCTTCTTATAGGTCGGGGCAGGGTTTGTCGTCACTGCCGGAAGCGAGTATAAGGCAGAATCCTTGGCTAGAAAAGAGAAATGAGCGAAAGCTGTATCCCCCGCATTGCTCGAGAAAATGCCTTTTGGGCTGTCGCACTCGAAAAAGGAAGAAAATGTAGCAAGGATTTTTTAACATTAAATTGAAATCAAGATAGACAGGCTGAGTTTAATCTTTGCAAGTGGCTTGTTACATTTTCCAGAAAATTGTATAGACAATTAAATCATAGATTTTATTCATCATCAAAGAAATTGTATTAACAAGCCTTATTCCCATATGTAATGGGGTAAGGGGGAGGTAGGATAGTAGGATGCCCCAAACACCAGGTTAAGAGCAGCTTCTGTGTGAGACCTCCGAATTATGAATTGCCCACCATGAGACTCGATCCCACGGCCACAAGATTAAGAGCCTTCTGCTCTATCAACTGAGCTGGATGGGTAATTCAGATTTCTATTTTTTAACTTTTCTTTATAATCAAGTATTTATCTCAAAATCCTCTTGTATTTTCTTCAATGTATGAATGTATTTAGTAAAAAGCCAAGGTTCCTTTATATAGTCTTCCACCTTCTCAATAGACGGTGGAGATTAGTTTTACGTCCAGAACTTTCTATACGAATCTAAGCTTGAAAAATTCTCCATAAACTTCAATATTCTTCCATAACTCTCCCGGTATTCTAGAATCTTATTCCTAGTTCTAGAACCTTAGAGTGTTCTGGGATATTCTAGAGTATTCTACAACATTCCATAAGGCTGTGGATCTTTCTATTGTGTTCTAGAATTTTATGTTATATTATAGAACACTTCACTAACATCTATAAATTTTTAGTTAAGTATGAAAGTATAGGTGGAGAGATTTAGTTTGTGACATAACACACTCATTCTTTATAGTCGCAACTGTTTGAATCTAAAAAGAAAAATAATATTATCACTCAATGGGTGGCTGTCCCTTGTTCCCATATGTAATGGGGTAAGGGGAAGGTAAGATAGTAGGCTGCCCTCAACACTAAGTTGAGGGCAGTTTCCGTAGGAGACCTCCGAATTATGAAATGCCCTCCATGAGACTCGATCCCACGACCTCAATATTAAGAACCTTGTGCTCTACCAACTGAGCTGGATGGTCATTTCATAAGGTTCTTAATCTTGAGATCGTGGGATCGAGTCTCACGGAGGGTATTTCATAATTTGGAGGTCTTCTACGGAAGTTGCTCTCAACCTGGTGTTGGGGGCAGCCTACTATCTTACCTCCGCTTACCCCATTACATATGGGAATAATGGACATCCATTTTTTTTTACTCAATGGATGAGTTATTTTTTAAATATATTAAATAAAAAGACTTAGAGTTGATTTAAAGTCAACTCTGTCGTCTTCTTCGGCTGTTCATGGCATACTTTCCCACAAAATTCCCATGCATTGACATGGACATGTTGGTGGCATGGATAGACTTTAACAGCAATATTCCACAAAATATACATACAATTTAGGTGGAAGGCAACAAGCAATTCCCTCAGCCTATTCCTCTTTCTGAAATGATGGATTTTCCGGTGGATGTGTGGGAGCAGGAAGGGATGTATGACTGATCAATGAATGCATTTGAAAGATGGTTACATATCAACATCCATCTGCTTTGTTGTAACATTTTTATTTGCTTTGTTTGCTTTCATTCATTTGAATGTGCAAGGACAGCGGTACTGCTTTTAGCAAATGAACAAAAGTAATTCTTTAAAAGAAAAAAAAAATTAGGTGGAAGATGAAGAAGGCCTCCTTCTGGGACCCGAGACATCAGTGAGATATCAATGATAGACAGTTATGGAAGGGACAGTCTCAGGTAGACAGTTTCTATGAGGCGTATGCCTCCCAAAAGGTAACGGAGGCGTGCAAAGGTTTCTTAGGGCTGGACGGAGATTGACCCTTGAGTGGAAAGGCAGAAGGGAGCTTGACTGCAAGATCCACCCGCCGAGCAACGACGAAATTCGGTCTTAGTGATTCGACGGTACCGAATAGAAGATTCGTTGCTCAACGGATTAAAGTTACTCTAGGAATAACAGACTTGTATATATATATAATATACTCATTTGTAATCTACTTTCCCATTAAAATTGTTCACTTTAATTTTTTAAAAGTTAAAATTTTTAAACTTCGATTATATTTATTTTAAATAGTTTAAATAATAAATTTTATAAAAATATATATTTAAAAATAAACTCATGCATAACTTACGGACAATGTTTGATATTATTAAACTTTTATTTGTAATTTTTTATTATCTTATTTTTAATAAAAACGTTAGGTATGATTCTGAAAAACTAAAAGCTTAGTTAGTAAAACGGGTCAAAACTGATAGTTTAGATACGAAATGCGTAATTTACCCAAAAACTTAGATAAAAAAAGAATGAATGGTTGTAAAACGATAAGAGAAGAAGACAATAACATATAGATTTATATAAATAAATTCTAAATGGGACAAAAACACAGACAGAAAAAGAGTTAAATTATAAATTTATAATCTTATTTGAAAAATCCTACCTCGCATCAATCACATTATCAAATATTTTCCTTTTTTTCTCTTAATTTATTTATTTATAACCAAACGGATCGTATCACGAAATTTTCCAGATCAGTCCATATAAAATTTGAAATTTTCCAGATCAGTCCAAATAAAATTTGAGTAATGAATTCTAACAATACATATTTTTGTAATATTTCTATTAACTAGTTACAATAAAAACAAGTAAAAATTTCCCCATAAATCATCATAAATATGTTCACTTTTGGTTTGAAAGACTGGGTTTAGACTTTGAGGCTATATAGTTGTGAACATAAGAAGAATCCCAAAAATCGTGACCGATCGACAAAGTTTCACCCGGCCTTATTTCTCTTCTACGATCAAAACCTCGTGAACGATCGATGATCGATCAACGTTTTATACTCCGCGAACCCTAGGATGAAAATCGCAATCCCACGCGATCTCGACGGTCAATCGACGACAACTACGACAGTGTATGACTAGGATGAAAAGGGGCGGCAGAGGGTTAAAGATAGAATTTGGGGATTTTAGGTATTTGGGGGCTTTTTATAATTTAAGAGAGATTAGGGTTTTTTTATTATAAATATAATATTATTTTTTTTAAAAAAATCAAAATATAAGATTGTGACACGTTTCATTTTATGAGAGAAACTAACGCCGTTGACGGCTCGGACACCTAAGTGGATAACGTTTGTAACGTTATGCACCTAGGTGTGTCAAAAAATAGTTTAGGTACCTATTTGAAAATTTAGGTATAATTTGGACACTTATTTTGATATTAAGCCTTTTTTAACCAAACCGATCGTATCACGAAAATTTTCAGATCAGTCCAAATAAAATTGGAGTAATGAATTCTAACAATATTTTGTAATATTTATTTTAAGTAGTTACAATAAAAGCCCCATAAATCATCATAAATATGTTCACTTTTGGTTTGAAAAATCGATTGAAACACTGGGCCCTATATAATTCATTTCCCAGAAAGTGTCGTTAACTTCTTCAATAATTCATTTCCCTTTTCGTTGAAGGAAACTTGAGGACCAAGTCATTGCATTTCGCTATATAAACGAGGAATTACTGCATACAAGCTCATTGTTCCTTCTCAGCTGCCGAGTTTGATATCCTCTCCGTAACATCTTCCTTCAAGAACAACCAACAACATGAAGGTATACTTTCTTCTTCTTCTTCTTCTTCTTCTTCTTCTTCTTCTTAATTTTTGGTTTATGCAATGGAATTATTTATTCGGACGCGTACCCGTATCCGACACTCGTGTTTAATAATTCGCAGCAAAAGATTGTGTTGAAAGTGAGCATGAAGTGCCAAAAATGCAGGACCGAGGCGCTCAAGGTGTCAGCGAAACAAGAGGGTGAGTGACATATACATATACGATTCTCTATCGTTTCGTGTTACGTCGTTAGAGTTTATGACCCGAATTTCGTAACGGAAAAAACAGGGGTGAACTTCGTTGGATTGGAAGGTAATGAGAAAGACAAAGTGGTGGTGATCGGAGAAGGGTTTGATGCCGTCAAGCTAACTACCGATTTGAGGAAGAAAGTTGGAGCTACCGAAATCATCTCTTTGGCAGAGCAGAAATGATTTTTCTCTCTCATGGTTTTAGGGTTTAAATTTTAAAAGTTGTTTCTTGACAGGGACTACAATGAAGAAAGCCATTTTTCTTTTATACTTTCATAAAGACTCCTTCAAAAGGTTACATTACCCACTTAACACGATGCAAGTGAAGACAAATATTTAAAAAAGAAAGAGGATAGATCACGTGTTTAGTATCTAAACTATCAGTTTTAGTCTATTTTACTATATAAAGTTTCAGTTTTTCAAAATCATACCTAATGTTTAATTTTTGTTTCACTATAGTACACCCACCATTAAAAACTTAAGTTTTTGTTTTATTTTAGTGCCCCGGTCAAAATTTAACGTTAAGTTTTGAAACGATTAAAAGTTTAAGTACTAAAATAGACCAAAATAGATAGTTTAGGTACTAAACGCATTAAGTTTTTAACCTGAATCAAAAACTAAACTTCAAGTATGGTTTTGAAAAAATGAAAGTTTATTTCATACCCCAATTTAAAGGGCTAAATGTTATTAATTTAAAGTATTGGATTAAAGTAGTAATAAGAGAAAAGTTGATGACAAAGAGCATAATTTTACCATTCTTTAAGAGAATTTCATTCATATTTCGTCATTCATTCATATTTTACCACATGTGCCAATATGTTCCTGGCATTGAAAGGAGTTGACCGGTGGTCGTGGTGTCGTCGTCATCGTCACCTTGAAGGAGGTGAGAAAAAGGAAGTTTGATAGTTCATAAAGATTGTTTTTCGTCGTTCTCCGCCGCTCATCATCGCGAAAGGATGCTTGCACGAGAATCCCAAGCTGACGATCTACAGATCTGGAAAATTTGATCACCATCTGATCACCGACGACATCGTACGTGCCCCACGCGCGTGTTTTATTTGTAGCTTAGGAAGTTTCCTAAACCGGTCTAGATCGGTCTAGACCACCGACCAAGCCACCCAATCGAGCTGATCGAGTCGATTGATTTTCGATCGAGCTAATCGAGTCGCCTGACTGAGTAGATCGAGCTGTTGACCGAGCTGACCGTTAATCGCACGTTGACCGACGTTGATCGACCATTGACAGGGCGTTGACTTTTTCGGGACAACCTATCCTGATTATTTTGACGTCCCGAGTCCTTTTTTGGGGGGTTTTAGCCAAATTCGAATCATGTAAGCTATTTTTCAGCATTTTATCTTATGATTCGATTCGTTTTTCCAGTTTAAGATCTGTTTTTGATGTAATTTATATTGTTATGACTCTGAGATATTATGGGATGTCAAAATCAAGTGTGAGGGCAATCGAATTAAGTTTAATTGGTCAATCAATATGCACAAAAATCGAGATAATATTTTACTACCTCTTTGCATACTTTATGGAATATGTTGATACTGGATAAATGCATGGATGTATATGATTGATCTATTATGTATGTTTGGTTATGGATGGACTCGAACCGAACAC